TTTTTAATTTTGACTTAGACCACTTTCATAATTATGGGCACATATATCACTTCGAATTCTTTCTTTTTTTTTTATTAGTACAGATTGATACTTGTCACATCCCTAATACGTATTATCTAAATATTATAATAATAATATTCTGAAGTAAATGTTCAGCAAATATTTCAAATGTCTGCTGAATGTTAAGAAAATGTACGATAACTTCTTTAAATATGAATATATAAGACAAATAGAGATATCCACTAGAGACCTCAACGGTGTCATGCATCGAGGGCCTTTACCATTAATTGGCACTTGTCAAGCTGCAACCAAGGCCTTTTAAATTTGTCTTTCAATAAAAAAAAAAAAATAAGAAACATCTATATCACGTTCCCCTTTATCACGATGATATGCCTCCACGGGGGTTTTTATTAACACTGAAATTACAATAATAGAAACAAGATGGCGGCCGTTGTATCGCGAGAATGCCCACCACTTGAGTGACGCTTATCTGAGATTCTCAAGGAACATTTATACTTGATATCTGGGTTAAAAGATCACGTGCCAAGTTCCTCCGGTTTAATATGGAATCATGCCTTATACGAGTGCTTTTAATAGGACGGAATGGCAATTACGGTTATGCCAAAGTGGTATCATGCCACGAGGGCGTTCACCACTCGTCGACTCTTGTCATGATTCCCAAGGCCTACACTTGCCTCTCGGTAAGTATCTATTAACAATAAGTGTTCCTGGACAGGGTTTCAGAAAAAGTGCACCCCAGTTAGTAGGCTGTATAAATAGTAAATGAAAAGTGGCATCGCACTTTAAAGATAATTACCATTTGCGGGTGAAAAATTCTAATCAAATTCCGCCGGGCTCGCCTCCGTTATCTCGTTATTCCGGATTTATTGCGGATACGTGGTCGTTACGGTTTAACAAGGATGCAAGTATTTTGCGAAATAAAAGGATTGTCCGTTACGACGGAGGAAGTAATCTCCGGCGATTAGGTGAACCGTTATCATGGGCGCCTCTTTATAGTACCGTAAGAAAAGGCTTCCGCAGTTTGTTAGTACGGAAATTTCGATATTTTCATTTCAAAATCCCGGTTCAAATCTACTCACACGGTGTATAAAGTTTCTCTATGAGGGTTCATGTTCAAATGTACTTGCTAGCTGGAGGAAAATAATACCGCTAAATAAATTTAACAATTATTATACGGAAGGTCAAAAGATCAATTGAGAAGAAATTATTAAACTTTGAAAATAATTTCAAGTTATAATTTCATCAAGCTAAATAAATTTAACACTTATTATACGAAAACTCAAAAGATTAATTGAGAAGAAATTATTAAGCTTTGAAAATAATTTCGAGTTAAAATTTTAAAAGGTGTCTTTTGACACTTTCGGTAGAAATAGTGTTAAAGACAGCTCGGGCTTTTCCAACTTTCAGCGGCCTTCGGAGCAGCGTCATCTCTCCCAACATTACCCGCAGTGTTCGCACCAATTCGCAACTGGTCTGTGACGAAACGCAGAAAGGCCAGAAAAGAACACAGCGCGGTGTCGACCTTGTACCCGAAAGCCAGTTTCTGCCGGCGTGATTGCGGCCCGAAGGCGAGAGGAACCGAGACGGAGATAGTGTACCTACGCGACATGCATTGCGCGTGTGCAGGACATGTGGACGAGACTTGCATAACAATCGATGAGCGATTGTCAACGCGGTACGCGTTGCTAATTGACCGCGCGAAATAACGCCGGAATTTCGCGATTCCGCGTCCGGCGACGGTGACGAAAAAAATTACCGAAATTTGATGAAGCCGGAAAAAGAACCCAAACATTCGCGGCTTTTGTNTTTAGTGTATGGCGATTTCGACCTTTTTATAGACGCAGTAAAGTGGTGCACTCGTTTCATAACTCACGAAGTACACCTCAGAATAAAGATCATGCAAATCAGCAAACAATGTATATCGTTGAAAAGATTGTAAACAGTCAGTAATTAAATATCGCTTAAAAAGAAAATACGCACAATTAGGTAAATACGGCCTATTTTCTCCATGTCAATTCATGGGCACAACTTTTATTCCTAAGTGTTGGGACTTTTCTCGAGCGAAGCAAAAAAGTACTAAAAGCCTCCCTTAATGTCGCTCTTAGATTTTGCGCAAAGCACTCGGGTGACCGTTCGGTAACAAAAGTAAGGTAAAGTGCGGTGCACTTAGCACCCGTTTCATTACCCTTGCAGCTGCGGTGGAGGCACTTCTTACCCGCATGCCACCTTTAAGGCCGTTCGCAGGGTTTGCAATCGCGCCTAATCGGGAAAAATGCTAATATATCCCCGAGCAGGCCGTTTTACCCAGGTGAAGGTGGCCGTCCTATCGGGGTACGTACGTTTTGCGTGCGCATGCACATTACTCAAAGTTGCAGAAAGGTACCGAGCCTTCCTACGTGGACGTGCATGTAACGAGGACCTCGCGTGACGTCAGGGGGTGCACCGGGCATTACCTATACATACAGGAACGACCTCCGCTCGATCCTCGACCTTTAATCGTCGGCACGATATTACACCGAAGCTCTAACGACGGGCCACACGAAAGCTCCAAAGCTTGGGCAAACGGAAGAGCACGAGGTTTTCCTAGAATGTTGTATTAACACATTCGCGACTAGTGAATTTTTTTCTTTTCTGATACTGAGTATGAAATTCTGAAAATGGTTCCCGCAAACTTGTATCGTGTATCGTCATGGACGTAATTCACGTCAGCGGCAATCGGGAATAGAATTTAAAATGACGTGAATTCACGTCAGCGGTCGCGAATGTGTTAAGGTGATATGAATGTGCGATATGTACGTAACGAGTAAAAATATTTATCAAACTTTTCTCCAAACTCGGTGCACCGAATTATCTGAAACTTCAATATATTATTACGGAGGCTCTAAGGAAGAACAGGATGGTCGTGAAATTTCATTTTTCGAAAAAAAAAAAAAATGCGTACTTATCTCGGACAAGTATCAAAGAAAGGCATTTTTTTAAACATGAAATTTCACGAACATTGCGTTCTTTCTTAAGGCCTAAATATCGTGGCTTTTAAATCTCATTTTTACATGGGGTGAAACAGAGCCTGGATGGTTCAACGAAAGGACAATAACTCACACAACAATGGCATAAAATTTGGATTGTTTGCATCCCCTTAAAAAATGAAATTTCATGAGTATCAGGACCTTCCTTATAGCCTCCATATTCACATTGTAAAGTTTGAAACGATTTGGTACCCTCAATTCGGTGAAAATTTTCATAAACGAGACCTCTTAGACGCCATTTTCACATTCCCTTAAAAAATGAAATTTCATAAATACATATCGAGACCTTCCTTATAGCCTTCATATTCATATCCTAAAGTTTGAACCGATTTGTTACCCTCAATTCGGTGAAAAGTTTCATAAACGAGACCACTGGCACCACTTTCACATCCCCTTAAAAAGTCAGCAACCCTTCCTTCGCGTTCCAGCATCCCTCTTCGATTCTCCCGTATCAATGCGTACACGCACGAGCACATGTTTCGGGTCATTGCTTCCAACCGGTGGAGCGAGCAGTAATGGTTTGATTGCTTAGGCAGGCCTCGTCTATCGTGGCCAATAATCGGACGGAAGTTAGGAGCGACTCGCAGATGGCGCCCGGAAACACCCGCACTCTTAAGCGCGTGTACACACGTGGTCCCAGACTGTACCAGACCTACGAAAGGTGTGTGTGTACCGAAAGAGAGGATACGAGGTACTTGGTAGTCACGCGAGTGCCATCCAACAAAGAAAAGGCCAAGGAAGTGGGTCCGTGAGTCCCAGAACAGGGACCGAGACATCCCTAGTAGCACCCAACAATTTATAAATATTTTATTTTCCCCCCTTTGCTAGATTTTTAACACGCCTCGTGGATTTCACTTGAGGACATCTTTCAACATCCGTTGAAAATCCCAATGACATAATTAATTTTAATAATTTATAAACATGGAATACAAGGAATACATTTTTTACACCTTACGATTATTATCGGACACTTCATTTGGTATCAAACAACACGACAAATTATTGCAAAATTCTCGTGTTTCATTATATGGTACCGAAACGTGTGATTTTCGTATCAAATATATTTAAAAAATATTACTAATGAAATCAAACGACATATGTTTTCTATATCTGTAAGGAAAGTATTACGAAAACACGTGGAGGTAATATTATACAGATATGAAAATAATACTCTAAGGTAAATGCTTTTCAAATATCTCAAACGTCTGAGAAATATTTACAAAATGTACGATATATTCGTTAGGTATATAGAAAATATAAGATAAATATTTTGTGCTACTAGGGGAGGCTAAAAGATGCTAAAAATCGCTGATCGGCTGAAATTGCATACTTCTAATGTTTTATCTCTGGATAGTGACAAACAAAATGGAGGTATCGGGTTGAAGGGCCTGACAAGGTCATTGGGCGACCTTAAGGGTGTTGGGGACCCTATGCCAACGGTTGTGTAAGATCGAATGACTTCATTCAATTTCCTTCCAGGATATTACCCCATGAATCTGATCCGACGAAGAAGCCTACATTAAGTGGTCCCCTGAACTATCGCAATAAACAACACAAAGTAGTGAAATTCACGTTCCGTAAAACAAACATAAGCAAGACGGTAGGTATTAAAATTAATCGTTTATCCACACAAAATTTTTTCCTCCACGTTGAATCCGCGTTTATAAGAAACGTTGATTTTACGTGTTAAATTCTCGATGCGTATATCCCTAATCGAAAAGAAACGGGTACTTATCCGTAACGTTTTAACGTTACTTGAACGTATAGTAAACGATTACGATCGTATATTTTACGTATAGACTATATTTCCCTTCAAATATCTGCAGCAGACCGAAGAAAGACGGTGACCAAAAACATGTCTGCCATTTATATATCTGGCGCGAAACTCTTTCGAGGGTCTCGCCGTAAAATAGTTCCTGCAAAAGCAGAAGGAAACGGAAAAGCAAGTCCGACTCACCTGAGCATCCTCTCGTGCCGGTCGCGTTCGAGCATCTCCTCGGGGCTGGGCTGCGAGGGGGCGAGCAGCGCGTGGGGGAGGGGCGGGTACCGGGGGGGTCGCCAGAGCATCTCGGAGGCGACGGCGGGGTGGTGGTGCGCGGGGGCGGCGGCGGTCTGGTAGCCGACGGGGGCGGCGGCGGCGGAGGGTCCGGCCGCGGACGGCGCGCCCTGGGGGTGAGCCATCAGTAGCGAGGCGTGCTGGACACTCTGGACGTGCCAGACCCTGGCGGGGGTGGTGGCGGCGGCGGCGGCGGCGGCAGGGGTGGCGGTCTCCTCGGCGCTGAGGGCGGAGCTGCGGCTACCGCTGCGCTCGTCTCCGGAGCCGGCGCTCCTCAAGGAGCTGACCCCGCTGTCGGAGCCGCTGTCCCCGTAAGCGGCGCGCAGTCCGGAGCTGGGGCCTCCGGCCAGGACCCCGGGGACGACGCCGGCCCCGGCCTCCATCTCCATGAGGCCGGACTCATCGCCGCCGGGCCGGGTCCCAGGGTGCTGGTGGTGGAGCTGGTGCTGCTGCTGGCCGTCCAGCAGGCCGCCGATCAGGTGGTGGTGGTGGGCGTGGTGGTCGTGGGGGCTGCCCGCCAGGGAATGGTAGTGCTGGGGGTGCTGCTGGTGCTGGTGGACCACCGGGCTGCCGTTGGGGTAGCCGCGCTGGTGGTGGTGCTGGAGCTGCGCCGCCTGCAGCTGGTGGTGGTGCTGCTGCTGGTGGTACTGCGGCTGGTGGCCGGGCCCCGGCGGAGGCGGCTTGTTCAGCCTCTCCGCGAGGATCACCGGGCTCTCGTTGTGCCGGCTCCGCTCCTGCTCCTCCAGGAGCAGGCTCCGCCTCCTGGGGACCAGGGGACTCAGCCTCTCCAGCACGGAGCCGTCCTGACTGCTCGACTCTAGCAACTCCACGGACTCGACGCTGGCGGCGCGCCCTATGCTCGCCGCGCTGTCCTCCGTGCTTTCGGTTACCGTCGTCACCCCGGGGGCCCGGTGCGCTCCGGAGGTGGCCACTAGCTCTTCCTCGTCCTCCTCCTCCTCGGGCCGAAGGCTCCTCGAGGAGCGCTCCGGGGCCTTCTCCGCGAGGGGCTCCGAGTCACATGGGGTCGGGTCGCCGATGCTCGAATCCTTGGGGTCCGCGGCCTCCTCTTTCTCGGCCGGAGGACCTCCCGGGTCTTTGTCTGGAGGTGGAGGCTCCGGCTCCCGGTCCCGCTCCCTGGACTGACTCTCCTCGTCCTCCTCCTGGTCTTCTACCTTCTTTGGCCCGGCTTTCGTCTCCTCCTTGACCGCACCTTCTAGCGCCTCCTGCTGATGGCTCCGCTGATGGTCCTCCTCTTCCAAGGCGGTGTCCGGACTCTTCGGGTCGGTCTTTAGCTTCCCTGTCTTGAGTCTTTTCGTCAGGGGGTCCTCTTCCCCTGATTCCCCGTTGCCTTCCTCGTCCTCCTCTGGCTCTTCCTTTCCAGAATCGAGTCTGGTGGAGAGTTCCTCTTCTTTCGGGCTCTTGGCGACCGGTGGGTCCTCTAACTCCTCGGAGCTGCTGGCTGTCCTCAACTCGGTCGACACTGGCTTTGTTCTCCTTCGGATCTGGCGCTGGGGAAGACTTTCTAGGGGTCCCTTAACCCCTGGACCACCTCTTCGCCGGAGTTTGGTCGCGCTTCCGGAATCCTTGTTTGCTTCTTCGAGGACCGTTCTGGGCGCTCTGTTCCCTGGTCTTGTTGGTGGTCCCTTGTTCTCTCGATCTTCCTGACGAGAGGACGCCGTCACTTCGGCTTCTTTATTTACGCAGTCGCTGGCTCGTCTTCGTCGGCTGCTACGCCCGTTTCCTCTTTCTGCAACGAATAATCAGAACAGTCCTTCAATTAATACTATCACCTAAATAATCCCGATATCGCGAATTAATAATTTGTTAACGGTACAGTTTCTCAAACCTCGGTTAGTAGTTTACTAACCGGGGTTTAGTAGTTTACTAACCGACCATTTTAATTCTTTTTTAAATCGAATTTTAAGCCTGATATATTAGACTCTCTGTTAGCCCTTAAGGTGATATGAAAGGCTCATATTATATATAAAAACTACAACTCGAACCAGGATCACATTGTTTTTGTGAAAAATAAAATTTCACGAGCATCGCGTTCTTCAAAACAAATTAAAAGAATAAAATTGAAATCTCGTGGATGTTAGGACTTTTTTTATAGCCACCATATTCACGTTGTACAGTCTGAGTTTTCATGATGCCAATTTCGCATCACCTTAAATGCATAGCGTTGTCGTTAGGTATCATCCACCTAAATTAAATGTACATAACATCTCATGTTTACATTAAAAGAATAAAATTGATATCTCGTGGATGTCAGGACTCTTTTTACAGCCACCATATTCACGTTGTACAGTTTGACTTTCCATGATGCCACTTCCGCATCACCTTAAATGCATAGCGTTGTCGTTAGGTATCATCCACCTAAATTAAATGTACATAACATCTCATGTATGTAAAGGTTAAAAGAGCAGTCTGAATTAATTAAATGAAAACCGATATTCCACTCTGGAATATTGATCGCGGTTTTCACATTCCCTCATACAAGAGTTATTCGATATTGGAATTCGAAATTTAATTAACGTAAAAAAAAAGGCTTCATTAAATTAACAATGTAGCGGATCCAGGCTGGAACACTGTGATAATTGATCATACTTTAAATTCTTTAGCTGATAATATTTCTGCATGAAAATAATTATATCATTATTGGTACGTAGGTCACTATTAGAACGAAGGTGTATATTTTGAATGTTAAGTTAAATAAATTTTAATTACCTTTCGTTATTAAGAAATATTTAACAATGACCAGGTATGCTCTACCAAATGTCTAGTAGGCGGTTTAATAAAATCAAACTTGCCGTGGGAAAATGCAGGAGGAAGTGCATCGTCTAAATTTTGCTTAATTGCAATTTCGCAGATATTCCTGTCGTAGGACAGATTTTCACATTTTTTATTTCCAATTCGACGTCTCTGAGGTTGGATGTTCTTGACGTTAGGATCGATGCATTCAATCTTCCTCGGGTCTATTTATGACTCCGGTATTTGCATATTTTCAGACGAGAAGAGACTTAGGATCGATAATACCGTGTCGAGTTTCTGCATCCTTGACATTAACCGATGCATTAAGCTGGTGCATACACGTGGGCATCAATTACCCTATTTTTGGTATCCGGAACTTTTAATAACACGATATTACAACATATTCCCAAATAAATATCGATCATCACCTGACCAAGAAAATCTATTTACAAACAATTTGCCGCATGAAACACCTACAATACATGTACGCCATTGCACAATTAATTTGAACAAAAATTTCAGGTAAATTTGTCGCCATGAGCCACACACGCTGCAATTGTTTATCAGCAATGAGAGATTAATTTTTCTGTACTGCGATGCATGAATAAATTAAATAACGAATAATCGAGTTAGAGTAAATTACTTGTAAACGTGTTAAATTTACGCGTATGTGTATGAAATGAATATGAAAACACCACATTGTTTATGGAATGATCTAATGCGTGTTAATTTCATATGAAGCAATGTCTCTTATCGCAAGTTTACATTTGACATGTCGAGAGTCTTCGGCAATATCGACTCAGACATTTAGATGCACTTCGGCCAGTCTAAATATAAAGTCAAGCCTCACTTAACTTTCAGATCGGCCGATCAATAAGCTTATTGTCTGGACTATCGATCGGATAATGTCAGAGTTAATCGAGGCTCAACTTTGAACTTAAACCGGCCGAAGTGGTTGTTAACCCTTTCAACATCGTTTACTTTAAACAATAATTTTGCATTCCCTCCTGAACTTCTTTCGACGTTCATCCGACCCGTGAACAGATATTCCAAGATTTTTCTAAACACCTACGTTGCCGACGTTCGATTTTATATCGACAGCAGTGTCGAATTATATTGAATATTGTACTAAATGGCATATTCCACCTGTCGTTTTCGTGTAATAATTATAAAGAAATCAAAGTAAAACTCCAGAAATCCTCTGGATTCATGATTTCAGAGGCCCTAATTGACTGCAGAGGGACCCCCTGCGCCATCTGTGATTTCCAGGTGAATTAAATTTTCACTCCGAGACCATCGTTTTGGCATAGAAGCGCATACAACACTTTTTTTGCCTTTATCCCGTTCAAATGCGAGTTTATCGATTACCAGAGTGTTCTAAATTGTCGTAAAATAGTCCTCACCCTTTCGATTCTCATATCAGATCCTTCAATAATTGTATATCGATCGAAATATCAGAGCTCGACGCCATTTTGCTTCTGGTCTGGGCTAAGTTAAAGANAATGGGTGCAATTGTTGGTAATGAGTGTTTGTTTATTGGAACGATATTTTTGGTTACCTCCCTCTCTCTCCGTTTCATCCCTACATACCACACATTCGTGTATGTATACGTTCACCCTTTCGATTCTCATATCAGATCCTTCAATAATTGTATATCGATCGAAATATCAGAGCTCGACGCCATTTTGCTTCTGGTCTGGGCTAAGTTAAAGAATTTTTTTGGAAAGTTAAAGAATTTTTTTTTAAACGATTGAGCTTTCGGATACTACTTTCACATCACCTTAAGGGGATGTGAAAGTGGCATTCGAAAGCTCAATCGTTCATAAAACTTTTCATAGAACTGGGGGTCTCAAATCGTTCCATACTTTAAAACGTGAATATGGAGACTCTAAGGTAGGTCCTGAAACTCGCGAAATTTCATTTTTTATAATCTACTTTTAAAATATCTATAAACAAATTTGAAAGGAATTGAAATTTCATGAGTTTCAGGACCTTCCTTATAGTCTCCCTATTCACGTTGTAAAGTTTCAAACTATTCGGTAAACCGAGTTGGGAGAAAAGTTTTATAAACAAAACCTCTTCGACGCCACTTTCACATCGCCTTAAGACTATTGCCCTCTGTACTTTTAAAGCCAATATTGGCGCCGCCTAAACCGAAGATCCTTGACGACCGGCAAAGGATATTTGGTTTTCGTGGTTAAGAGTCGACCAATCGGATTGCACAGCTGAGTGCATCGTGCACCAACTATGGCGATGGATTATGGAGGTAGTTTACCAGGCTAATCCCCTTTGATGCCCGCACCTAGAGAATCGAGCAGCACTACATGCATACGAAATCTATGTAAACCACCCATAGCGACTGGAAATCGCCCTTGGCAGAATTCCGAGAGATACAGAAAACCCAGAGGCTCCCACGTTAACATCCTACAAAGGCCATAAGGGTGATAAGGCGGCGATAAGGCGGATATCGTTCCGTCTTATTGCTCGTAAAAAGGTGGCTGCGCGTTGCTAAGACACTCTTCCACCTTAAGGTGACATGGAAGTGTGATATATACCCACCAAAAAGTTAAAACATTTATAAAACTTTTCTCCTAACTGGGTGCACCAAATTGTCTAAAATTTTAACACGTGATTATGGAGGCTCTAAGGAAGAACGCGCTACCTGTGAAATTTCATTTTTCGAAATAAAATTTCTTTTTTTGCTTCTTGTCCGAGATAAGTACCAAATTTTTTTTGATAAAAGAAATTTTATGAGCAGCGCGTTATTCCTTAGACCCTCTATAATCACGTGTTAAAATTTTCAGATAATTCGGTGCACTCAGTTTGAAGGAAAGTTTTATAAATATTTCATGTTTAACGTTTCATGTATATAAATGATCCTTTCATATCGCTTTAAATATTTGAAAGTAATGGTTAAGAACTACTGTCGTAGATATTTGACAATTCATTCGGGTTTATAAATATTTTAACGTTTCATATATATAGAATGACCCTTTCATATCACCTTAAATATTAGATAGCATTAACTATGAACCATTGTCATAGATATTCGGCCATTCATTCGGCTTTATAAATATTTTAACATTTCATATATATAGAATGACCCTTTCATATCACCTTAAATATTCGAAAGTAATGATTAAGAATCAGTCATAGACATTCAGTCAATATACAGTTGTATAAATATTTTAACGTTTCGTATATATAAAATGACCCTTTCATATTACCTTAAATATTCGAAAGTAATGATTAAGAACTACTGTCTTAGATATTCGACAATTTATTCGGTTTTATAAATATTTTAACGTTTCATATATTTAGAATGACCCTTTCATATCACCTTAAACATTAGAAAGTAATGATTAAGAATCACTGTCATAGACATTCGACGACAATTAATTCGGGTCAATGCGCAGGCGCGAGCACGTGCTCGGGATTTCCCCCTCGCATAATTTGTGTCTTCAGTATCACAGTTGGAAGGACACCACAGGACCCTCCCTTAACTTTCGCAATTGATGTAAGCTGATTAGGAAGGTACCAGCTGCCCACTTTGTGACGCAACCCCTGAATTCAGCTAATCCCATACCGGCTAATGCATCCTCTATGTGCATTCCCTGAATTCAACTGACTCGGCAAATCTCAAATCGTCTAATAAGCCCTTTGGATGCATTCCCCGAATTTAGAATCGAATTAAATCCTGTACCTTGAAATATAAGTAGGAATTCGAAAGTGTAACGAAGAGCATATACCATTTCGGAGGTCACGTGTAATTTTCATGAACCCTCTGCGTTAGATAAGAATTGATTAAACAAAACATTATTTTAATTACGTTAATTAAACAACACGACAAAACTGTGACTTGTGGGAACAATACCTAAGGCCAAGAAACGAAACAATAGCCACGTACCATTTGAAAAATTTCACTGCAAGCCTGGAGATCCCAATTTCATTTAGAACCGGAAGTTAAAATTATCATTACTCGGTAAAGCATTTTTG